TCAAATAACTATTAAGTTACTACAAGGAGTATTAACCAGATATTAAAGTTTCATTGTGATGGAGCAATGAAGTCTTCGAATTCTTCAAATGTTGTAAATGTAAATGTCTGTGAGGTTTCATGTTTACGTAGATAGATCTTACCATTATTTGTCCATAGGAATTTGTACTTGTTTTCCTTCTTGAATTTGTTTACCCTTTCAAAGAGTTCTCTGCGATACTGGGTTAGGGATTCATTAATGTACATAGCAGAGTCTTGGTGGATGCTTTTCCCCATCTCACAAGCCACGGATGGAGCACGCTTGCTTTTTTCCCGCCGAGGTGCTTGCGTGACTTGTAGAATTCGTCACGCTTTTCTCTAAGGACGAATTTGACAATAAATCTGTCCTTCTTACACTTAGTATAGGGCAATCGGTGGGCTATCGAAATTTCCTGTTTGGATGGAGTCTATGGCTGCTTCAGCATCGTAGAGTGAGCCATTAAGATGGTTGATTTTGTTGTCTGGGGCTTTGCCTCAGTTGTTAAGATCGTTTATCTGTTTCTTGGTCCACTGCATTGACTTTAAAACGGAATCGTATTTATCGCTGATCAATTGCTGTGATGATTCAATCAAGTCGAGACGCTTTGACAGATTAGTTATCAGGCAGTTTACCTTTTCATTTTCAGTCTTCAGTTCGTTTCTGATTTCTTTCTTGATGTTGGGAAGGAATTCTGTCTTCCAGATCTTTCGAATGTTGTCGACAGTGAGCAGTTCTGAGGAGGAAGCCATTTTTGTTGCGGAGCTCAGAAGTCGCGTCCGGTCACCATGACACCCAGGCTCAGCAGGCTCATTGAGGTACAAGTATTCATTGGACATGTACCTTGTTGAAATGATGTTTGTTGAAATGATGTTTATCAGTAACTGTTGGTTATATTTTTTGTAGTAAAAAATCTCTGTTTCTTTTTCTGGCATTTGTAATTCATAAAATTTAATTATGTTTTAAAATGTGCCTAGCACTAGCTAACTTGTTTACATGTTCATGTAATAGTTAGTAGCAGCTTCCTGCTGTGTTTACTTCAGTTCATCTTAACTTAATTCGAGTACTCTTCAGAGCTCTGTCTATCTTTTATAGTTGTTTTTGTTGTTTTTGAGACTTGTAATGAATTTTGTTATACATGTTAATTAACCTCAAATTTCTGTTCAAATATTACCACCTTCAGTAGTTTCCATGATTACTGTAGTTCATTCTCAAAAACTTTCTGTTAATTTACAATTTTCTGCTCTCAAGTACTGTACTGCAGTGGAGTTTTGCTAGCCAAGTGGTTGACACTTGGAACTTCAGATCTGTTGATCTGGGTTCAAGCTCTGCCATCTTCTTGTTTTCATAGACAAGAACCTTTTATCTTCTATGTCTCTCTCAGATATATGCATATAAATATGTGTGGCCTATGACTCACTGCTAGGGGCAACCCTCATAGGTGCCACTTGAAAATTATTGAAATTATTTAATTATATGGTAGACAATTAAAGTAAAACTCAACAAATTTTGCCTGTGAAGTTTGCTTTGTTATTAGCGAGTCCTGCTTAATATTCCATGGATATTGGCTCAAAACCTGTATTTCTTGAATAAGACAATATTTTTATTAAAATAATTAACCAATGTATTCATTATTGAAGGCATTTTATGATATCTTTTGAGTGATTTTGACATGTACCTGTGTCCTTTGCTAGTGAATTTTACTGGTGAATAAGGAACATGAACTGTAAAATAATTATTTGGCAAAACTCTGATACATGCGGTGTAGATTAAAAGACCAAAAATAGCCTAATTACTACAATCACTAATAAAGATCGCTGAAATTAAAGGGTACAAAAATATCCTATCCACTGCATCTTATAGACTGTATCTTATAGCTATCACAGTGGTTATTGCAACAACAATCACTGATGACATTCCTATGTAAAGGGGGTTTCGATAATAAAATTAATATTATACAGGGCTCGTGATTATTTCACGTGGTCGCTGAACCACGAAATTCAGGTAAATCCACAAAATCCTGCGAAATTCACAAAAACGCATCAGATACTGCGAAATATTTGGAACTTATCTCAGCTATTGTTGCGGTTCAATTGCCGCAAACTTGCAAATTTATCTTGAAACGAGCAACATCCCAAAACCACCAGGCGTAAATTATGTTGCAAAAAACTGGGCACTAGCCATAATATAAAAAGCTTTGCCATTGGCTCATTTCTCGATGGTATAGTTGTTGAAAGAGCAAATGATTATCTCTTTTTATAAAATGTAAAAATTCTGGTCAGATTATCCCAAAACCGATCAAATTTTAGTGAAATTTGCCCTGAAAATTCCCTCAAATAAGCCGTATTTTATTGATTGTTGCTCAGCGAAGTTTACCCCGAAAATTCTCACGAAAATCCCCGTGAAATCAGCTGATTTTCCACGAATTTGTCCCTGAAAATCCCGCGAAATTTGACTTTTTTCTCTGCAACCTATCAGAAGCCCTGATTAAAATGACTTCAATATTATTTCCTATGATTGTTCAGCTTGCTGAACTTTTTATAGCAGTGGTCACAATCACTGGAAGCCATGCTTAAGACAAACTGCAAGACATCATCTATTTTTGGTCATGTAGATTTGTAGACAAACAAAGAAAAAGGTCACTGTTTCAGGGCTCGAAAAAAGTCCTGTCTGGTATTCCAGGATGACTAGATTTTGTTGCTTGGCAAGTAACTTCTAAAGCAAACTTGCCTGACGGGCATAGATCCAGGCAAGTCAAACCAAATTTCAACTAAATCATTGAGAGCTGCTTGCCCAAAAGACAACATCTTGTTCCTCTTGTACCCAGATACTGGAAGTATTAAATACATGTATATACCTTATTGGCTCTAAATTTCACTGATCTTAGATTTTGCCAATTTTGTTTTTTGCAATTCTAAAAAAAATCCTGAAATTAAAGATGCAAATAAAATTTCTCATGAATTAAAGCACACAAAATTTAATAACCGTAAAGAAAATTCAGATCACAGAAAAAAAATTATTTGCGCTTGCATGTATGTTAAAACTCTTCGTGTTGTACATGTAAGTTGCAGCTCATTGAGAAAATCCTACATTGTACATATGTACGTTGTGATAAGTCAAGTCTTTTTCACACATGTTGGCCTTTCAAAAAGTGAGTCTTGCAGTGTGTGGCCACCCTTGTATTAATTTTAATACTAGAGGATGGGAAACAATAACCCTGCAAAGTTTTTTTACGGGGGATTTGATTTATTTTTGGATGTTGAGGGATTTGCCACCAATTTGTAAAGGGACTCAGGGAGTAAAGAAAGTCAGTTTGACAGTTTGCCATTTGGGCAAGCTGTATCTAGCATGTACTGGCCTAAGAGTCTCTTTAACTGCCCTGAAAAAAAATATTTGATGAGCAGGATTGTATATCTGTAATTTGAATTCCCCAAAAAACTTCACCTGCCCAGCGGGCAATTAGTTAAGAACAGAATTCACTAGCCCAATAGCACAATCCCCTAGCCGCAGGCTATTGGACACAAATTTCTTTGCACACTGGGACTTGAAATAAGAGATAATTTTGGTTACAAGAAGTGACTTGTGAACAAATACAGTGTCTTCACTCTTGGGTGTTGCACTGAAATTTTTTGTGCAACATGTTGCTTGTTCAGCTTGTAATATGGGCAACAATACTTTTTAACTTCTAATGGATTGTGACAACTTGAACAAAAATGTTGCCTGTTTTACTTGACCTTTCAGCCCTTGAAACACCTTGCAATAAGTTGCTGGGTCTGGCTTTATAATGTATGTGCTTTGTTGATAAAGTACATGTAAATTGTATACTGTAAATACAGTAGTTTTGAATACCCTCCTCTCCAAAGCACAGCCACAGACTCTTTAAAACTGCACAGCCTAGAAGATTGAAGACAACCAATGCCGTTGTCAATGAAGGCTCGTACAACCAATTGATTAATAAAAGCTTGACTTATCAATTAACACGTTTTAGTAAATTAACTCATTAACATGATAAATTGCCCTGACATATTCAACTGGCTGCTACGTTACCATCTACTGGCTACAGAAATGTAGCCACCTTAAAATTCAAAAGTGACATTGTCTATTAAAGTACATACAGCTGAGTATTTCATTCCATGCTTAAGCCCTGTTGTAGGGAAATGAACTTCAGATAGATAAGTGTTGTGATTCACAACTTTCTTGTCTTATAGAAATTTATTGGTTAGAGTTTCTCTCCTCCTCCACAGGGAGGAAGGGGGCCTTGGCAGAGTGACTTTGCATAAGTGGCATAATTAAGAACTCTTTGAAATTTATTTCACTCTTTCGTTTGTTACAGAAAGAATCTCAAGAATTGCCTTTATCAGATGACTCATTGACCATCACAAGAAGCCTCCTCAAGTATCTTCCTGTCCACATCAGAACTGGAAGAACTTGTTACACCAACAGTGGCTCCAGCCACCCCAAGCTATAATGCTGATTTGTCCATTACTGTCGTAAACCATGCAAGTAGCAGTGACTCATACTCACAACCAAGAGAATACACGGTTTCATCAGTAATCCTTATACCTCCCAGTAATCCAAGCCAGATTCAGTCATCCCAGGGAAGTCAAAATGTTAGAGCTGGCACTTTCTCTGAGGGAGTGGTAGCAACAAAAGAGCCAGAGGTGTTCTCTTCAGTTGTAGACTCCATGTAAGTAAACTTTACAGTGCAATGAATTAAAAACTACCACATGGTGAAAAACAGATGAAGGGGTAAATTTAAAGAATGAAAATAATACACCATTAGTTTCCTCTATTTACCTTAAATTATATTATTTACGGATAATTTTTAATTTTTATCTGTTTACTATTGCAGCCCTCCAAATCCAATCAGCAGTGAGCCTACGCCTACTGCACCTTCAGCAACAAGTCCAAAGGAGGAAGAAGACAGCATAACGGCAGCTTTAAACCAAGCAGCAGAAGAGGAAACCAAACTGAAGGAAGAAGAAATGCCTTCATTTGATGAATTTAAAAGAAGAGTTTTGCAGGAGGAAGAAGAGAAAAGTAAATACCAGAGTGCTGAGAACTCAAGTGGAGCTGCACCCAAACTCAAGAAATTAAAGGAACGAAAACAAAGCAATTACGCTTCAGTAGACTGTGGTGCAAAGATCTTAGATCACAATAGTGAAGCATCTAATGTTGACAGTATTTTGGTCGAAAATAGAGATTTGTATATGTTAAATCCGTGTAGCGCACAAGTGTGGTTTATTGTGGAGTTATGTGACCTGGCTCAAGTCAAAAGCATACAAATTGCAAACTTTGAACTATTCTCTTCTACTCCTGAAAGCTTTCGGGTGTATGTCAGTAAAAGATATCCCACGAGGGAGTGGACTATGTTAGGGACATTTCAAGCTCGCGAGGAAAGAACGATACAAAGTTTTCCACTAGATGAACCAATCTATGCCAAGTACTTTAAGGTATGAATCTGTGAACAGTTTGCTGTCAAGTCGCCCAAAGCCAAAGTTAGTCATCATGCTGCAGTTGTTTAAAAAATAGATAACATTATCCACCCGACAAGTCACTACACGTATCTACTGGATAACATGACTGGTTTCCCTAATACTTATCCACCGGATAGTGATTTATATTGTGGATATTATTAGTGCTATCCAAGTTTTGAACAGCTGTGGCCAGAAGGTTTATTATGCTCAGCAACTTTCTAACATCCTAAATACACATTCATCACACTTGTTTTGTCTCATTGAGACTTAAAGAACGAGATATGTCACTCATGTATCGCGCCTTTTTCGCCGTCTTGTGGCTTAATGAACGACATATTTAGTGTACAACACATTTATCATGCTCGTTTCGTCTAAGGCTTTAAAGAACAAGACATTGCACATATGATGCTTATAATTGTCTTATTAACGAATCCCTTATTTTAAGTACCTTGTAGGTAGAAATTTCTTTCTTTTTTGGAATTCTGTCGATGCGAAGACAATTTTTAGCTTTTTTAAACAGATACATTGTGGCAAATAGTGTGACATAAACCCTCTAAGTACCTTATGTGTTGTCCTTAATTCAATTAGGTTGAGATGTTGAGTCACTTTGGCTCAGAGCATTACTGCCCACTGAGCCTTCTGCGTGTGCACGGCAGCAGCATGATGGAAGAGCTGGAAGACCATGAAACAGATGGACAGGAAGAGAATGATAACAGTGACAGTGATGTGCCAGTGTTACCTCCTGATCCTAGTGCCAAGGTTGAAGATCAACCCAAGGAGCAAAATCTGCTGGAAAGAGCAGCTGATACAGTTTTTAATCTGGTCAAGAAATTCACTGGAAATGGGCATGATAACAAGCAAGATAAGGAAGGAGATGATAGTAAACTCGGCGCCCAAGACAATAAAATGACTGCTTCTGAGAAGGAATCCCAAGGTGAAAGCAAGGGCAAAATTGTCACTCTTGTTGGTCATGAAGAGCTCAACGAAAATTCACAAATGAGTGGTGACAATGCCTGTATAGTAAAGCAAGGTCACAGTCGTGACAGAAATGCTTCACAAGGAAAATGTGTGTCTGGTAATATAAGCCATGAAGATAGTCCACCTTGCAGCAAAGCAGATAACGAGAGAGAGACTGGTACATGTAGCCCTGCTCCGTCAGCATGCCAGTTGTTTGCTCAGGTATTGGGGCACTACAGTCTGGGGTGTTTTGTGGGACGAATACTGTTTTCAAAGAATGAAAACTTTACAGTATCAATGAATTTAGCCACGAGTGGTGATTACAAGCGAAATTTAATTGTAGCTCATGAAAAAGATAAAGGTGAATCTTATGAAAAGAAAGGAAGTCAAGACCAAGAGAAAGTTCCTGCAGAACAGGCTGGAGAGCCATCTACTGCTGACAACTCAGAAGAGAAGAGTGCTGAATTAGATATCGTAGACCAAGAATTCTCTGTTATCATTCCTGAAATGTCTTCCAGCATTCTGAAAATATCAAAAGAAGTTACTAGCTCAGGCGCATCGGGAGTTTCAGAACATGTTGACCCTTCGCCCGGAGTTTTGCAGCCTAGCGAGTCACTAAACATTTTCGTCTCAGAGAATGAGAAGAAGAGGGAAACTGATGACAAAACCCCTTCATTAGCAGAAGTGTCAGTTGTTACGTCCTTACCCTTAAATGCCACTCTGCCGGCTTCTTCGTCTGCGGTACTTAAAAGTTCCCAAGTGCCACTAATTAAGGATTCTTTTGTTGATGTTCCACAAGGTGAATCCAAGTTACACGATCAGCAGGAGTTAAATTTACAACTTGTACAAAGCATTCCTGACAGACCGTCAACTGTGTTAGGAAGTGAACAGGCACACTCTGTGACAAAAGGCACTTCTCAACAGCCATTGCCTTTGAATGTGAAGGATATAAGTTCCAAAGATGAAGAGAAAGTAGAAGACAATGTAACTGTTACAGAATGCAAAGGGTCAAATTCAATTCACATTATGTCAGAATCTTCTCCAGATATTGACGTCTTGGAGACAAAACTCGCTGACAAAGATGGACGAGAGGGTACTGCTCAATTACCTGAAGAGGTACATTTAGAAAAAGAGCCTATACATAGTGCCAGTGAAGCGTCAGAATCAACCAAAGCAACTGATTTTTCAAGGATAAATTTAGAACCAGTTACAACAGAAGGTGAAGGATTGAAACCAGATTTGGACAACCAGGAGCCGGGTATTGAAAGCACCAAATCGACATCCAAAATGTTGGAATCTGAAAAATTAATGTGGATCAAGTTATTCAGCCTACCATTCCTCCTAGTATTGACATTACTGACACTTCAGACCCTGTTCTTCCATTACCAGCTCCTCCTGTTATTGGAGACACAAGCTTGCCTAGCCATGAGTTTTCAACTGCAGCATCGTCAGCAGAAGCTACTCTTGATACTTCAATCCTCAGCAAAGCTCAACAAGCCGCTGTTTCTTCTTCAGCTGGACTATCGTCAGGGGTCGGGTCAGGAGGGCAGAAGGAATCCATATTTGTTCGTCTTAGTAACAAGATCAAGGTTCTGGAACAGAATTTGAACATGAGTACCCTGTATATGGAACAGCTGCATCAGAGGTAACTTTTGCAATTTAATCTCTTCAATCTCTCGTTGATACAAGTGGTTACAGCACCATGTTCTCTTTAAAGCTTTATTTGTGTGGGCCCAGGCTCCGGCCCCAAAAGGGAAAAGGCGGAAAAAAAAAAAAAATCAGCAAATGAAGTGTTGGAAATGACCTTTCCCACACTCCAGTCCATGTTTTTTTTGTTGTAGTTGTAGTTGTTGTTGTCTTTTTCTTTTTTTGGCTGTTTTGCCCTGTTTTTTGCCTTTTCCTCCACTATGGAGCCTGGTCCCAGGCTAAAGCTACACGTACATGTACAACCTGATGGACAAAACTCTTTAGATGGTTCCTTCTATTAATTTTTTTGAATTACGCGCTACATTACCATCTCCTCTAAACATCTAATAAAATTACCCCAACCCCTCCCCTATTCAATAGTGGTTGGCCTTTAAACCAGTGTATATAATTCTGGGCCCAGTTGTTCAAAGGCGATTAGCACTAAACCCAGGGTTAAATTTAACCCGAGTTTCTTTTTCTTTTTTCGAAAGCATTTTCTCGGATAATTTGCTCTGTTGTTTTTAAGACCATCCAAATATCAACTTGTTGACAAAAAGAATTAAACTGAATTTACTTTTTAAGCTTTCATATCTGGATTCATATTTCGCACTAACCCTAGGTTATCTTAACCCAGCTTTGAACAACCTGGCTCTGTGTCCGGTTCCTGAAAGGTCGATTAGCGCTAAGCCAGGATTAAAATTTTGTTCCATTTTTGTAATTTACCTTCCTACGTATTGCTTAGAGTAACCTTTTGTGTTATCATTACTGTATCTCGGGGTAAAGGCTCAACAGTATTTTTTTTTAGCTCGAGTTGCATGTCCTTAGACAAGAAAACCTTGCTTAAAACTAGGCTTAATCCTGGGTTAAACTTAACCAACTTTCGAGGAACCAGGCCCTGGTATTACTCAAAAAATTGTTGGAAGAGAGGAAGGGGGAGTAAGACAATTAATTTAAGCAAGGGGTTTCATTTTAGTCCGAATGACAGAAAAAATAGGTCTTTTTCAACTTTTATCAACCGGTTTAGATCACAGTTGTAGCTGATCTCCAAAAGCGTTTACCGTAGTACATGACCAGAGTGAAATAAAAGTAGTTTAGAGTTCTCGGAGAAAGTGCTAGGGACAATCTCATAACTTCGTATCTTTTAGTTCCTTCTTCAAAGAAGTTATGTTTATGTAGCCTTAAATTCAGACGTTACTGAGGGAGTAAAAACGACTCAAAATAGTTGTCTGAAATTCAGGCTTATGTTTAAGGTCATTGCGAAGATTCTCCTCCCCCCACCCACCCTCTTTTTTTTTCTGGGGGTGGGGGGGAGTTAAACAGGTTAAAATCTTCAGAACCGAGCTTGTGCCTTGTGTCTTTTCTTGTTAGAATGCACGTTGTGTTTGTCTGGTTTTGATCTTATCAAGAGAAACAAAGTTGATGCTTTATGATGCTAATAGGAGTTGCCTTATTTCCGGTCACAGATACCGAAAGTCAGTGGAAGAATTACAGAAGAACTCAGATAAGAAAGTTGCCCTGTTGACCAATGCTACCAAGAAGGCAGAGGCTATTGTATGTATAATCTTTATAATTCTTAGTGCTGGGAAAAAGTGGTGAGAATTACGAAGCAATCAGTAATTCTAACCTTTGTCGAAGCGAGTGTTGCCTACACAACATGTTCTCAGCTTAACATTGATCTGAGGAAGTTGAACCTTCACAAAATACGATAAACACTCGCAAATACATTTGTGAGAACCTGTGGATTAAGGACCTGCTGGCAGAAATTTGGCATTTTAATACCCAAAAATGTAAGAACCTGTTTAGCCAAGCAAAATCAAGCAGGTTCTTGTATGTGTCTTACAGGTAAATACTGTAAAGATAAACATTTTTACCAAGGAGTTTGACTTCGAGATTGCCAAGTGATATTTCAAGAAGATACAACGAAAAAAATGTTTATAAAAAGTACAGTTGTAATTGTCTTCATGAACCTTACATGAGGAGCTGCAATGTACGGTTGTAAATAAACTATTAATAATCACAGGAGTTCAGGCTTCAGGAGTAATCATTGATCGTTTATTGCGACAGTGCTGTTTCGTATGGTCCGAAATTGTAGGACCACACTCATCAGGCAACTTCAACGATTGACCGTTAAAATTAAAAGCTGGCGGTAAAATATAGGGATGCGTTAAGAGATAGTATCTAGGTAACAGATGGATTGTGTCTTAGTTACGTTACTCTAGGGTTCTGAAGTACATATCTGTTTCTGTGGGGGCATGAACTCGCTAGTTCGTTTCGCCTGTTTAGGCTACAAAGCTCTTTTTTACAAATGATGATAAACTTTTCATAAAGACATAGATTACATTTTTTGCCAATGTTGCTATAGGCTTTACATTTCTTTAAAACTTTTATATCTGGAAAGATTTCTTAGAGTCTTGTAAAGTCCAAATACATTTTGAGAGTTCCGTTCCATTTCTTCTGTTCGAGCGTCGAAAGGAGGACTGATAAACACTGTATATTTAAGGAGCAAACTCTCAAGTTTCTTTATTTTTCTGGCAGTCAACAACTACATCTCTATTGAAATGAAGAACCTATAATGAAGAACGTTCTTAGCCTAAATTACCAATGATTGCCCCAAAATAAAAGAACCTTGTTTGCCAGGCCTCAAATAATGTAGGTTCTTATTAGTTGGTGGTAACTCTTCCGTGCATTTTCTACCCCTCAATTCGCGAAAATGAACGTTCACAGGAATTTTGTTTATCGTCCTCTTAAAAATTATCCGTTTGAGATTGGACCAGATTAGTACAATAAAAATAACTTGGCGTGAATGCCCTACTTTGCAACACACCGATTCCGACTGAGCGTGCTCCTTGTCAACGATCTTAAGTGCTCAACGAATTAAAGCTATGGACAAGCTCGAGTTGGATGAATTAAAGGGGCTGTGTCACGGCAGTCCAGTTCATTTTGATTAATTTTGCCAATTACTCACCCTCAATCGCTATGGAACTTAAAGTAGGCAAAGAAATTACATGTAAATGACAAAATCAGAGATCCGAGACAAACAAATGTCTCCCGAGTATTATTTTTGAAGTTGCAAGCAGCAGGGATCAACTTTGAAAAATTGTTAGGCTGAACAGTTTTCAAAAACCCTAATTTCAATCCGTTTCAATCTTCTTCAGTTTTGCCCATCCGTGGCATTTGTTGTTTCCGTTGTGTTATTTTAACCTTCCTTTAATGTTTTAAGCGGTTATTTTTATGTTTCTCTTAATTTAACGGGCATTTTGTAATTTCCTAATTTGGCTCAATTTCCTGACACAGCTCCTTTAACTGCTGTGAAAGACAGTTTCAAACTTACTCCCACCCAGATGCTCTCTATTGGCCCGTCACTTGAAGATAACGTCAACACTGGTCTAACGATGGTAGAACCTTTAGCGCAACCATTTACGTTTGTGGGCGTTCGCCACGTTCCATCAAGCGCGGCGTTTGGTATACGTTCTACAGTGTAGACGATTTCCAGTGCAAGTGTTTTGTTTACATGCACATATTAATCGAACCAATGTTACTTCTTTTTAAATGTACACTTTACACATTTCCTTCTACAGATCAACAACCAAAAGGAACAGATCACTATACTGCAATCAAAGCTGGATAACCTTACCAACGCAGTTGGTGATATGAAAGCCCGTATGGATCCACTCAATAAGGAAGTGATGGAGCGCCATGTTATCGGTCTTTGCATTGAAATAGTCTTAATTCTTCTTCTGTTTATACTGTTTGCAAAGAGAAACAATAATCAGGTGACTTCTAACTCACCCGGGAGGTCAGCGCACCTTATGAACGGTCATGGCCCCCCTCGACTTGCAATTGAAGATAGCAAACGCAGCAAAGCCACTGTCTTGTCTGAAGGTGAGTACTACGTTCGTGCACTAGGAATATTCATCTGGCATTTTATCAACTTGATATCAACATGAAATGTCTCCCCACATACCTCCTTAGGTTCTGCTTAGTAGTTAAAAATATCAACTTGGATTACTTTTTAGTTTGCTTTTTCTGAGTTCCAAAAACTCTCATTTTCAAAACGAGGCTAAGTGACATTGTTTTCTCGTGAAAATGAGTTTAAACTGCATGACAATGAATATTATGTTCATATCAATTATACTTCAGAACGCATTTATGCAACAAGAGGTTTTCAGAACCTTTTATTTGTGATATCGAAGCAATATATTTTGTTCATTCATTTGTTCATTTTTACCACCACATTGCAAGTTACTGAAACATCTATTGTCGGTCCAATGTGTACAGTGTACAAACGTATTTATTTTTTTAGTTATTCATTTTTTTATTATTTTAGTTCCTAGGTTAAGTGGAAAAGAACAGCTTCTTTTCAGTTTTGTCAAGATGGCGGAACCGGAGAGTATCGGAGGCGGCACTGATACAGATCACCATGACAACAAATTAGTAAAGGCAGGTTTTCACACAATGCAGTTGTGTATTTTATAATTGAATGGTGAAAGCTAATCCTTGATGTTTGAATTTAAATGTTAAATGTTAGTCCACTAGAAGGTTTCTAGAGTAAGCTCGAATTATCATTCGCCAGTTTTGTTTATTTCCAGAAGGGGAAAGAATAGGGTGTATACTGTTTCATTGCAAATACAGCCGCCTCTCGTCGCTCTCCGTCGCTAGGAAATAGGGAGCTTTAGCATCGACGATGGCAACTGCAGGGAAAACGTCAGTTTTAAAATGAATTCCCGTTTTTTCAATCTTTGTCGCGTTTACTCCAATTTGCTGGAAATGGCAAGTTTAGGCGAATTTCCCTGGAGTTGACCGCACTCAAGTTTAGAGAGAGAAAAAGAGATTCGTCGTCGCTTGTTCACGTCCTCCATAAAACTTGCAATTAGGCATTTTCACGTCGTAGTCGTGCAAGGACGGTAAAGAAATGTACAAAA